AGAAAGAATAAGATATTGTCAAGCCATTGTCATGAATCAATTATGATGATTTTATTCAGTCAGTACTGAAGCGAACACAAATTCATGTTACTATAAATTACATCAGGTGCATAGGCCATCATTAGAGTATAATCCTCAAGTGTCTGTTTATAAAAATCACATTCTTCCCTTTTCTCTCACATAAGATGGGTATAATCAGCAGAAGAGACAACAAAATATGTGTACATTATGGAGCTATGTTTACTGATTACACTGTTTCCATAACAAAAATGAGAACCATTTTATCTAAACTTCAGGCTAGATCAAAATTGTAATGATAGTATCTTTAACTTGATGCACCTTATCTAAATTATATCATGCTAACCACATTTTCACAAGCAAATTTCTAATTGACTTGTCTCCAAAGGGGCTCTTAAAAAAAATAACTTACAGGCTGCTGGAATTTTCAGCATTTCAATTTCACTTATTTCAGGAAACATTCATATTTACTTTTAGGATACTTTAAATTCTTGATGTCTGCATACTTTTACATATACTCTTTACATTGTGGCATACACCTTCCCTTCTACTTATGCCTTGATAATCCTTGCTCATCTTTCAAAATTAATTTGGTCATCCTTTCTTTAAGCCTCTCCCACTGTGCTGGAGTTGGATGCTTCTTTTATGTTTTCCCTTAACCCTCTGTGCATAAAAAGAACTAACACACACACACACACACACACACACACACACACACACACACACATACTTCCTAATGCCAGGCTGTTGTAAGTCCTTTGTTCTTTGCATGCATTAATTCCCTTAATTTTCATAGCAGCTCTCTGTGGTAGATAATATTATTTCCATTTTACAGATGAAGAAATAGAATCACAGAGAGTTGGAGAACTGGGGATTTCAACATAAACCGGTTCCAGACGTTTCTTTTCTTTTCTTTTTTTTAATTACTTCATTGAGATATAATATACATAGATATAATTCACTTCAAAGTGTTCACAATTCAGTGGCTTCAGTGTATTCACAGACATGCTACTACCACTGCAATCAGTTTTAGAACATTATTCCCCAAAGAACTCCAGTTCCTGTGGGGAATAAACTTAGGAATTCCCTGAGCTTGCACCAATGGGTTAACAAGGCATAAAGAATTAGAAAGCCATGGGACGTTCACACCCAAGTTTGGGTAAACAAGTTTAGGTAAATAGGTATAGGCAAGGCAGGGCAAAGGCCCCAGTACAGATAGGGAAGGACAAAGGCCTCAGTACAGGATAAACGTATATGAGGTAAACAAGGTTAGGTATTCAGGGCAGAAACACCCCCAACTCAGTACAATAGCAGAAAGCTGCTTTCACAGAAAGGAAGGATCAAATTAGGTAAACAGGTAAATAGGGCTATAGACCACTGCAGGGCAAAGTTGCCCAGAGCAGAGCTAATTAGCAAAACACAGGTGCCTTGTTGACCCTGAGGTAGCATGCTCTGTCTTTCTTGTCCCCTAGACCAGTTTAGGTAAACAGAGGTGGTGTCTCAAGTCTGCTGTAAACAACCTTCTGCCCTGGTGCCAGGATTTTGGTTTGTATTAACCCAAACCCCTAACCCCACAGATCTTCATGCCCAGGAGTTAATGTTCACAGTTTCATTGTCTCTTTGTGCACGTCCATCACCATGTTTGTAAGCCTTCTGATCCTAATAAAAAAGGAGCAAGGACCCTTAATCAGGGCTCTTGTCTTCTCCTGGACATTAGCCATCTCTTGCTTTTTTAATTCTGGGTCCCGCTTTCTTGATGGACAAGAAAGAACTCCAGATCCAGAGTCGACGACAAGTTCCCCTTAGCCATTATATCCCAACCCCCTAATTTTCTCCAGCCTTAGGCAATCACTAATTTATTTTCTATGCCTATACATTTGCTTATTTTTGACATTTCACATAAAGGAAATCATATGATATGTTATCTATTGTAACTGGAATCTTTCATTTAGAATAGTTTTCAAGGTTGACCCATGTACCATGTTACTGATGCTTTATTTTATTTTATTGCCAAATAATATTCCATTTTATGGGTATACTGCTTTTATTTATCCATCCATCAGCTGATAGACACTTGAGTTGTTTCCCCCCCCTTTTTTTTTGCTTTATTAATAAAGCTATGAATATTTGTGTGCAAGTTTTTGTGTGTACATAAGTTTTCATTTCTCCAGGGCATATATCTAGAGTGGAATATTATATAATAACTCTGTGTTTAACCATTTGAGAAACTGTCAGACTGCTTTCTGAACCAGCTACACTATTTTATATTGTTACCAGCAATGCATGAGGGTTCCAATTTTTCCATAACCTTGTCAACAATTGCTATACCTGTCCTTTTGATGTATAACCTTCCTAGAGGGTGTGAAGTGGTAGCTCATTATATTTTTCATTTGCATTTCTACAAGGGCAAATAGTTTTGGGAATCTTTTAATGTGCTTATTGACAATGTATACAACATTCTTTGAAAACCTGTCTGTTGACATCCTTTGCCTATTTTTGATTGGTTTATTTTTCTTCTTCATATTGAATCATTCCAACTTTATTGTTTATGTACTAGATACATGATTTGCAAACATTTTTCTATCAAGCTGTGGGTTGTCTTTTCACCTTTTTTGATTCTGCCCTTTGAAGTATATGTTTTTAATTTTGATGAAATCCAACATTTTACTTTCCTGTTGATTGTGCTTTGAGTGCCATATCTAAGAATCTATTGCCAAAATAAAGTTACTAAAGTTACACCTATGTTTTCCTATAACAGTTATATAGATTTAGCTCTTACATTTAAGTGTATGTGATCCATTTGGAGTTAATTTTTATATATGGTTTGAGGTAGGGATCTGAGTTCATTCTTTTGCATGCGGCTACCTAGTTGTATTTGCATGATTTTTGAAAAGACTATTCTTTCCCCATTGAACGGTTTTGACACTCTTGTTTAAATTCAATTAACCATGGATATATGCGTTAATTCTGGTCTCTCAGTTCTATTCCACTGATCTAAATGTCTATCTTTAACTAATAAGTTGCTATCTTAATTATTATAGCTATTAGTAAGTTATGAAATTGAGAGGTGTGTCTTCCAACTTTGTTCTTTTTCACGACTTTCTTTTGTTGCCTTTTCCCCCTTACACCGGTTCTGTTGCATTTCCACATGAATTTTAGAATCAGCTGGTTAATTATGGCAAAAAAAAAAAAAAAAAGGAGCTAGAATTTTGATAGGAATTTCACTGAATCTATAAATCTATTTGGAGAGTGTTGCCATCTTAACAATATTGAGTCTTCTAATCTATGACCACACAATATCTCTTCATTTATTTAGAACTTTTTAATTTCTTTCAACTATGTTCCAAAGCATTCAATGTACAAAAATTGCAGTTATTTTGTTAAGTTTATTCTTATTTTATTGTTTTTGATATATTTAAATGGAAGTGCTTTATTAATTTCCTTTTTTATATTTTTCATTGCTAGTATACAAAAATATAATGGATTTTTGTACATTGATCTGTACCCTAAAAAATTTTTGAACTCATTTATTAACTCTCACAGTGTGCATATGTGTATGTGTGTATGTACACACTTTGCTTTAGGGTTTTCTATATGTAAGATCATGTCATCTACAAATAGAGAAAGTTTTACTTTTTCTTTTCTAATATTATTCCTTTTATTTAACTTCCTTGCCTAATTGTGCTGGCTAAAACTTCCAGAACAATATTGAATAAGAATAGTGATAACTGATATGCTTGTCTTGTTACTGACCTTAGGAGAGGGAGCTTTTGGTTTTTCACCAATAATATGACATTAGCTGATGAATTTTTTTTATAGATGTTCTTTCCCAAGTTGAGGAAATTCTCTTCTATTACCATATTATTGAGTGTTTATCATAAAATAGTGTTCGATTTTATTAAATTTTTTTTTCCACATCTATTGAGATGGCTTTGTGGATTTGTTCTTTTTTTTTAAATTAATGCTATATATTACATTGATTTTCAAAAGTTGAGCCAATCTTGCATTCCTAGGATAAATTCCACTTTTTATAAGTTCCTTCAGTTAGTTTGCTAGCATTTTTTTGAGAATGTTTGTGTCCATATAGATATTGTGTCATATTCATTATAGTCATTAAGCTCTATGAATCACTGGCTGATTGCTTTATTGTTTTCAGTAATGTCCTGGGTCAAAAATTGCTCATTTCTTTGAACAAAATTTTATTTTTGAAGTCAGACTTTAAAATTCATTCTGACTCCAGGAAGTCTATTTTTAGCTATCTCTTTCCCTGGTTTTCACTGGTGAAGTAGTTGGCTTATAACTTAGCTTGTTGCTCTTAATTAAGAGCATTAGACTTAATTTCCCTATACTGTTTCAAATAATTGGAGAATGCTTAGGTGCTCTCTTTTCTTATAGACTGTATCTTCCCTAAGCAAATTCTTTGTGCCACTACCCTGAGTACTGGGTTGGGTGGAAGCCTCTGGTCTTCTCTACTTCCCTTTGTTGGCTTGGAACCTCTGGCCTTGGAGCAAGCTGGAGTGATAGAGATCAAGGTCCCAGTATTCCAGGCCTGCTACACCTGCAGCAAAACCTGCATCCTGGTGGTGGGAGCTACATGGAGAAAGAGAGCCCCCAAAATGTTGCCCACTGTCACCAGGAATTTAGCCTCTTCAGATTGGAGATGGAAAGTACAAGAAATGCTAACTGCCTGTCCCTCCAGATAAAATAATTCTTGATTGGGAATTTAGGGGCAGGAGAACCCTGTCTTCTTGGGATAACAGCTTGGAGTGGAGCTTCCATCAAATTAAGTCGGGCAGGGGGTGAGGTGGAAGAAGAAGGAGTGGGATGACGTTCAGATGCCACAGACTCTTGTTCTTACTGAGTTTTAGATTTTCTTGAATAAGTGTTACTTTATTTTCTGTATGCTCTGAGAAAAATTTCCAGACTTTAAATGACTTTATTTATTAGTTTGTTTATTTGTTTACTTGCTTAATTTTTTGAAGCTTTGGCTGTTTTGCTAGGAAGTGGGTCCATGAACTCCTCACTCTGCCAACTTGGAGGTGGAACTTCTCCACTGGAAATTTCCCCAGCCAGAGATGCCATTTTTGCCTGAAGCCCTGAACCAAACTGCATTATTTATTAACTCTTCCAAAGGAGCTCTCTTCAGACATTGCTGTAGGAGCTATGGAGCTTGCCACCTGCCTGCTGTGAGTACTTGTCCAGTGGAGTCTCTTGTCACACTTACTCTCTCAGCCCCTAACTTTGCCTCTAGTCTCAGAAGGATGACAAGCTGAGACCTCAAGAAAGCTTAAATCTCTGTGGGGGTTCAAAATGATGAAGGTCTTTCAGTAGCAAAAACAAGGCTATGTCTTCAGCAAAAAAATGAGGACAATGAATTTCAGGGCTATTACTAAGGCATTTTTTTTTAGGTTATCTATTAATATAGAATGTATTTAAAGCTAACTTGGAATCAAACACAATTTTCCTATGAGACAATATAATTAGATACACAGACTTCTAGAAATGTTTACAGTTTATAATCTGGGGCTTTTTTTTTTTTCAGGTATTTTTTGTTGCTACTGCCCATTTTTCCTCTACAAAGTACAAACTTCACTAGCAGGAGAGTTGTGGTGGCTCTCATTAGCAGGTTTTCAAATTAAGGTAACAGTAACTGGGCCTAAAAGTCACGATTCTGCAATTTATGTGTCTTTTTCCACCTTAGGGTCTTTTAAATAATTTCCCACAAAAATCTAAAGATTGATGACAATGATTAATTATGCTTTTGTGATCACTCATTCACACTTCTTCTTTTCTTTAGTTAATTTACACGTCATTGTTCTACTGCAGACACAATACATCTTATATTTAAAAACACTGTGTACATTGCTAACTGCTTTCACATAATTTAACCTATTCACTCATAAAAACCTATTTGATCTCATTAAAGGCCAGTTTCATTATTCCCTTTTTACAGACAGAAAAATGGAGGTTGAAAATAGCTCCTTGGTTTCCATAAATTCAATAATCCATTAATTGAAAGCAGGAACTTGAACTGACATCTTTTAACTGGTAAGGTCAGAACTCTTTGTAGTAAATGCTAAATGCTTTGTATGAGTGTTTGAGGAGAGACGACTAGGTGGAAAAAAGGCAATGAAATAGGCTGAAGTACTTCCAGTAAGAAAAGTAATCACATGTTATTTACTCTTTTGTTAAAATGTGCATCCAGAAGAAAATAAGTGCACTTCTTGATCTTATACTGACGTACATAAATTATTATTTCTAAACTTCATACTTTCTTGTATATTGTACAAATCGAGAATATGTTTGCTACACATCGGTCACAATATCCCTTAACATTAACAACAACAACAAAAAAAACCGCAAGAAAACAAATGTAGGGGCTCCTGGGTGGCTCAGTCGATTCACTGTCCAACTCTTGATTTTGGCTCGGGTCATGATCTCGTGGCTTGTGACATCAAGCCCCATGTTGGGCTCTGCGCTGACAGTGCTGGCCCTGCTTGGGATTCTCTCTCTCTCCCTCTCTGCCTTTCCTCCACTCCTGTGCATGCTCTTTCTCTTTCCTTCTCTCTCTCAAAATAAATAATAAACATTAAAAAATACATTTTAAAAATCCTAGATTTATTTATTTGTATTTAATATAAGAATGTTAAATAAATTTCTGAAGAGGCACAGTCCAAGAGAGAAAAAAAAAAAGAGGTAGGTTTTTCCTTCTATTTGGATTGCCCTTTCCTTAAAATACCATGCTCTTTTTCTCTTTGTCCATTATCCTGACTTTGTCTAATTCTATACTTTCTGTAGAATGTGGGACAATGAATTATGAAGCATCAGTGCACTTGTAAGTGAAAATATTGTGGGGAGAAAGGGCTAACAAGGACTGCTCCTAAGACTAAGAGAATATTAAATGATTCAAGATTATTTGTAACTTCTCATCACATGTGACCTTGCTATTTCTGATACAAATGATTCTTGATGTTTTGAGTTAAACATTTCTACTTCTTTACCTTAAAAGCATATAGCTATTTAAAAACACTGTAAGTGGGTTAACTTATTTCCTAGTGTCAACTCTGTCAAAAGACTTAATAGCTTTGATTCTTTTGATTTCTGAAAATAATTATTTAAGTTCTTTGTATTTAATACTGTGTCTACCTGTAAAATTTTAAGTTCAGATCAAAATTACAGAGTTTCTGGGTAAATAGTTGGTCAAATAGCATATAGATTATATGATTTTATTCCTATTGATTTGGGACTTTAATAGTCCAATAATATAACATGAGTTTTATTTAGGTGCAAACCACCTTGTCGCCCTTGTTTTCTCTTCATCTTCCACCCTCAAAGATTTTCTGTGAGACATTTAGGATATACATAAAGATCCTTCACATTTTGAGAGCTACACCTCAGGTAGCTCTCTGTCAAAGAAGCAGTTCCTTTGTCCCATTCATTAGTGTCTTTATTTGGGTGTTGCCAATATTTCCCAGTAAATGTCATGTTCTATGACAGCAGTAACCATGCTATTTTGTTACCTCTGCATCCCTAGCACCTAACATAATGCCTATCATAGAGAGGATGCTGAATCAATATAATAATGCTGACTTAGTGTATCAGTAAATGGTTGGAAAAGCTAAGGAGACACAATGGGAACACTAGGACATGATTATCTGAGGAGGCAGAGAGGTAGCAGGTATCTACTCCTGCCTCCCTCACTAAGATGATCAGAGGGAGGAAATTCTGGGAGAAGGAGTAAATGGCTTAGAAATCCACAAAAATTGAATGCTGTGCTTTTTCATCCATTTAGGCTTTCACTGCTAAGGAGTGATGGACCTAGCCATGGTGTTTGGAGCTCTGGGAAGTATGAGAAAACAAGATGTTCTTCAGAAGGAACAGTGAAAACCAAGAGGCTTAGTGACTTGTTCAGGGTGTAAATAAAACAAAGGGGTCTCTCCACCATTCCATCAAAATTGTATGATTGGTTCACCAAGGTGTAATAAAGGGAAAAATATTCCAGATGAAATCCCACGCTGAAAAAAGAATACCTGTCACTTTAGGCTGTCCTTTGCCATCTCTCTTAGAAATTTGGACCTAGTGAATGGAAATTAAAGAATGAGGAATCTTAAGACCACCTAATTATAGTCTTACCTATTCAAAGGAATAGTTTTGTGTGCACACCTGTTCTTATTTTTTGTAATTACATACAGTTTTTTAATTTGTTTCCTTTCCTTTGTTTCCTTTCCTCTCTCTCCAGTCCCTGCCCCTCAGCCCCACCACACACACACCTTCAGTCTATCTGAATATTTTGATTTGTTCATTCAACAAATAGTTCTTGATCTACTTTTATATACCAGGCATTTTAAGTGAAACCAACTTTGTGTCTTATAGTTACTTATAGTTGAAAGGGAGAATATAACATTAATGAAATTACTACAAGAAAAAAAGAGTTACAAAGATTTCTGAATGAAAGAACACAACAAAATAAGGAATTAAATTGTCCTAAAAAGCCATGAGGTCATTCCTAGATGTCATTGCTGAGATTAGATCATAAAAATAGTGTGACATCTGTCCTTTTCTATTTCTCTCTATTTCTCTCAACTTTATTATTCTTTTTCAGTCTCTCCAAAAATGTATTTAATTCTGAGTCCTTCACATACAGGTTCTACTTTTTGATAGAAAACTTAATAATTTTGATAAAATGGTTTATTTAGAGTTCCTGGAAAGTAGAGACTGTATCTTACTTATCTTTGCCTCTCTGGAATTTAGCACAATGTTTAGCTTACAATGTAAGCTCAGTAAATACTTGAGTCAAGGCTAATGGTTTATAGTTTGTTTTACCTTCCTCTGATCTCAGACAACATGTAAATTTTCAGAGGGAAATAAGGCCTGGTGAAAAAAAAATCCAAGAAGTGAGACTAATAGTAGGTAAATATTTTATGAAAAGGAAATTACTCTTAAAACGATTACTCAGTTGGTGGCTGCCTGCCATACCCCTCTTATGGTGATTTGCTTGGGGAAACTTACCATCTCTCAACACATAGTTTGGACTTTGCTTTATGTGGTATTGGTTTAAGATGAGCTGCTTTTGTGTATTCTATTTCCCACTTTTAGAGCTATGTCTCTAATGGTCGTTTTAGTTTGGATAGTAATTTTTTAATTGCTATTATTCTCTTTTTTTAAAAAATTGGCTTCATTTACTAATGTTATTTCTTTTCTTTTGGAAGAATTCTTTAAAATAGTCTCTCTCTTTATGATGGCTTCTTGCCCAGTTTTGTTGAATTCAACTTTCCAGGAATATCCATTAACTTAATTAATCTTATAAAAATACCCTCTCTATATTATTTAATCTAAAATGTTTTCAATTATAAAACGCACAGTTGTTTTTCCTACCACAAATAAAGATAAAATATACTGTCAAATATAATTGCAAGGAACCATTAATTGAAAGATGCACTCTGATTTCACAGATATTAAAATGTTAACAATTGTATGGTTTTGAATTTATAAAATACAGAGAAATCACCACCACAGCTTTACCATCAATTTCGAATCATGTATTTATACAAAGTTTTAAAATTATTTCTACGGTAATGGCAAAGGAATATTATATTGCATATTTAATGTAGGACAATGGAATTGCATTAAAAAAAAAAATTCTGAGAGCTTTAGAAGATGCCTGATAGAATAGAACTCCCAAAAGTCAGTATGTTTGTCTGTTTTGTATGTACCCCAAGCACCTAGAATAAGGCACTCAATAAGTATTTCTCAAATGAATTTCTGAGTGAATTCATGTTTCATTAGCCATGGCTGTTTCACAGCCATGTGTCTGTTTTAAGCAAAACCAAATACTTATTGAAAATAAGTATTAATCAGCGAGCTCCTTCTAAATGCGTTTATGTTTTTCAGGTATCTTGAAATGCATAGCTTCTCAAGCCTTTCTTTTCACTTGTTGCCAAATTCTTTCCATTGTATTTTTGTAAGTATTAGAATGACATTTACAACTCTGATGTTTCCAACAATTTGTGAATTGCCATGAAAAAAAATTGAATGAAATAATTGCTCATTTATGGTTATCCACAGTTGGACTATTTTGAAAGTTAAAAGGTAAAAACAAATCTTAGTAAGTGCCTTGTAGTAATACACTTGGTCCACTTGATAAAAAGTAGAGATTAGTGGGACAAATATAAAAACAAAAAGTTTAGAAAAGGACTTAGCTTGTAGGGTCTGAATTTATTCTCATTCTATCTTTTCCTCCATTTCTAAGACATTTATGTAGCTTTGGTGATGGCTGATTATAGGTATCCATATGTGACGCTATTTAGAAATAGTCTCCGAAGTTATCAATCCCATAACATTTGGAACCCTCACGTGTCAAGAGTTATATTTAATTTAAACCTAACATGAGTTCGTTCTGATTCTTTTTTTTTTTTTTTTCAACGTTTATTTATTTTCAGGACAGAGAGAGACAGAGCATGAATGGGGGAGGGGCAGAGAGAGAGGGAGACACAGAATCGGAAACAGGCTCCAGGCTCCGAGCCATCAGCCCAGAGCCCGACGCGGGGCTCGAACTCACGGACCGCGAGATCGTGACCTGGCTGAAGTCGGACGCTTAACCGACTGCGCCACCCAGGCGCCCCAAGTTCGTTCTGATTCTTAAGGCAGAATACAAAAGAGGCTAAGGACATGGCCTCCGGAACTCAGATCTCTGGGCTTGAAACTTATCGGTAGCTCTTGTTAGCTATACAGTCATGGAAATTCAGTGAACATTTTTGTGCCCTATTTTCATCCTTCTAATGTCATTACTACATCTTTTGTAGGGTTTTGATAAGGACTAAATGACACATTAAAGTTTTTAACAGATCCTTTCAAATAGTAGACGCTGATGTTGGTTGTCCCTATTTCCCCTCTGGATCCACTATGTCTTTCACTGCCCTGCTTTGTGTCCTGGCACTCTGACCTTCGTGGTCTTCCTTACTTAGGCTCTCTTGCCTTCTGACGCTGGTTGGATTTTCAACTGAAAACAATGAAGGGATGGAAGACAGGAGGAGTGAAATTGAGGTAACCTCTCTTCTCACTTCCTCACTGCCTGATTGTGGTTTGGCCGTGACTTTCTCCATTCTCTTGCCATGTGGAAGTTCACAGCTATTACTGAACGGTCTTCTCTCCCATGGTTCTAGCTATTGCTAAATCTGTTAGTATTACTTCCTCCTCATGCCCCGTCAGGGCAGTCAAGCAAGACTTGCTGTGCATCTAGGTCCTGGTGCTTCAACACTCTTGTTGATTCCTTTAACCCTAGGAATTTATTTTACTCTTTCTAATTAACCATTTGTATGTACCATTTATTTTCTAATGGGATCATACATGGTATGGTGCTGAATTATTTCATTTAAAATAAATATCAGAGCAAATCATAAGAGACTCTTAAATACAGAGAACAAACTGAGGGTTGATGTAGGTGGGGAAATGGGTGATGGGCATTGAGGAGGGCACTTGTCGGGATGAGCACTTGGTGGTGTATGTATGTGGGTGATGAATCACTGGGTTCTACTCCTGAAGTCAAGGCTGCACTGTATGTTAACTAACTTGAAAATAAGTAAATAAATAAAAAATAAGTTATCAGATTATTCCTTTTAAGTCCATGAACTATCATTAATAGTGATAAGAATGGGGGCTTCAAAATTTAGGTAAAGAAAATCAATTTTATTAACCTGTGTGTCATTATAGCAGAAATGTCCTCAGCACTAAAGGAAGTATGTGTCACACTGGGATCAGATTGCTGTTAGGATGCAATAAAACCTGAAAGACCTCCCCTCAAAAGCTTTACACAGGAATCCTTCCTCCTCCTTCTCCCTTGTTGAGAGCATTGAAAGCAAGTACATGGAATACAAGAAAGTGGCATTTATATGGTCAAATCAAGTTTATTAAAAAACAAATCTAAGTTTCAGGATTTAGTCAAAATTTTGGAGTTGCTGGGTGGGTTGAGGGGACAGTGATTCTTAGTTTCGGTGGTAGAAACCTGTGAGGCCATGTAAGTAAAAGCTGGACTGGAAGAGTGTTTGTAGGAAATAAATAAGGAAGTCATCGCTGGTTTCCACTCAAACAGGAATTATGGGAAGAAACAGTAAGCCTACCAAACTATTAAGTACAATGGCTGCATATTGTGGGAGAGTAACAAGTACAAGGACCTTTTACGTAACTGATAAATCCACATTTCCTCACAGAGGACCTGGGGAAACACTGTTTCCATATTTCCACTCACTAACCATGTTTGGGATCTGTGCAGGTCTATTCTTACAGGTAACAGTGACCATTACTAGTCATGAAGGTGAGACTGGGGCATGCACGCATTACCACTGTATAAAGGAGTAATACCATTTCATGCACAAAATCGCAATCATTTTGTTCAGCCTGGAAATGAATTTAAAATAATTGGCCATATGAAGGTTTCCTATTAAATTCACTGTCATCTTACTCAGAGTTACGGATTTTTAACTCTCAAGTGAAGTAAAATCCTATAGATACCTCAATTCTCACACATATCACAGGAAGAGTAGAGAAGGGTACAGTATAATGTTAAGAGGGAAGAAATTAAGAGGTCTAGAGTCAGTCAGACTTCTTGGAGTTGAATCCTAACTATCTCTTCTACTTCCTATCAGTATATCCTCCACATTTTTTTTCCAATCAACTCCTGTATGTCCCAGTTTCCTCTTCCTCATCCTTGGAATCAGAAAATTATCTATTTCTTGGAAATACTGTGAAGACTCAATAAAATAATACAGACAAAAAACTTCATAAAGTACCTGGCATATAGAAAGTACTTAATACTTCTTGGTTGTATTATTTTGTATATGCATCTCCCAACAAGATTCTATGTATATCTTGAGGTATGAATATACCTATAAGGTGAATATATATACCTATTACATAGGTATATGTATTATTCATTTTATATCCATTACCGAGTCTATTGTATAGTAAAGTATTAAATTAATATTTGCTTAGTGACTAAATGAAGCTAGCTTGCTTTAGAAATATGAATCTCAAAGACAAAAACAAAGCATGTATATATTTTTTTTTATTGAAGTTGTCTCCTGAGATTTCATGTTAATAACTAGAGAGGACTATTAATAGTTCACTGCACTTTAAATGTCTTTTTTTTTTTTTAGTATTAGCACATCAATGCATATGCATAACACAGCCTTGGGCACATACAGAAGCACCATTACCTTCAAGTTGTCAGGTACTCATAATATAATTATTTGGTGAAGAAGCAAACATCTTATCAAAACAATAACTAGGAATAAATTATAGGTACCAAAAAGGGGGACAGACTACTCATTTGAATGTAGTCTTATAGAGAATATCACAGGTCTTTTTTTAAATAATGAAATTATGCGGAGTCTACTTAACTGTTATTAAACAATTTATAAGGGGCAGCCATTGCTGTTATAAACTTTGATACTCAGTTGGCATCAATTTGTCAAAAAGACTGTGTTTCTTCCATCTACTAATTCTATAATTTAGCCTATAGAAAAAAAAATTTTCAAGTTTAAAAACAAGTAGGCTTTTCTGAAGAAAAAGTTCACAACTATGGACATTTTGAAATTTACTATAAAGTAGCATAAACCTAAACACACAGAAATAGCAAGGAAAATTCATATCTTCCTGCTGTATGGCTATTTACACAGTATCCATTTGAGTATATTGCTGGTTAAAATATTTCTACCAACATGTAATTTTTTATGTATATTAGAAGAGAAAATAATATACAGAATAATGATAATAGTTATCATTTGATTTTCTGAGTGAATATAATTGTAATAATTATTTTATATGTATAGTTCACAGAATTTACATGTAACACTCACAAAATCAATAGTTGGTAAGCTTCATAAAGACAGAATCACATCTATTTCTTCATTCATCAATGTCCCCAGTAATCAGCACTGAGCTTGAAAACAGTCGATTCTCGATAAATATTTATTAAACAACTGGATGATCTTTCTTTGAAGTAGGTTCTTCCTAGAAAAGCACTGTATTCTGCCAATGTTTTAGTATTACTAAATTACTGCATTTGGTCAACTCTACCCTTGTTTGGCATGATTACCCTCATTTGTGCATGCTTACAGTGAGACAATGCCTGAGGGAGACCTTGACTTTACCATGTGTAGGAAACCGCAGAAGGATGGAAATTGGGCCTAAAGTGTCTGAGAAAGTTACTGATGAAAGCACTGTAATTAAAAGTAAAGCCTGCAAAAATCTGACTCTGATCTATATAAATTGAAGGTTGGAAAATATGATCGTTGCAATATCTTAGAAAGCATAGTCAGGATTTGTTAAATGCTCTTTTAAGATGATGGCACGACTTAATAAAACATAGAAAAACAAAGCATACAGTAACTTCTAGAAGCCCAAACCACAAGGCTCCGATAAGACTTACCAGAACAGTCACCACACGGAGAACCACTCCACGCATGTTATTCTCCAGTTTCTTGTCAGTCAGTGACCCGTTCAGCCCTGTGACAGGATTCCAGCACCCAAGCTGAAAGATGAAATAGCTTGGTCACTTTCGCCACTGAAGAACAATCCAATCACCTCGGCAAAGATCTTTCAGAAAATCGTGTGATGTCCCTCAGAATAACTGGTACAGAAAGGGTCCTGAATAGGTTTTTCTTTTTAATAGCAAATGAAGCAATCAGAAATTCCATTTCCTGCCTTTAAGTATCACTCTATGGCATATGACAGTATCCAATATGCTTTAGCAGACTCACTGAGGACATACGACTTAACAAGGAGTTATAAATACACCAATAACTCAATCCCAGTTATGCACTAATTGGAAAAATAATAGTGCATATAATTTTAGTATAATGTCTGTTCTAATAGATCAGTTATTGCACACATTAGATTTTCTTATAATTTCAATGGTTTTAATTAGATATTACACTGCTTGTATTAGAAAAACTACAAGATTTTTAATACGGTTAGAAGGGTTACTGCTTTTAGTTGAGGGAAAAAGTCATGGATATAGCTTTGTTGTTTTCAAATATTCATAGTACATACAACAATATAATTTGCCTTTTTTGTCAGTGCTATCAATTTCCTGGGGATATTTTGGCAGCAGCCTTTCCCTTAAAGTCTTGCAATGATTCACTGCTCTTTACACTCCAAATACTGATTTAATTTTACATCCTCACGCAGTTCTTATCTCTTGTAATATCCAAATCTAAGGGCTACCATTTTGAAAATCACTGCCTCTAAATCACAAGGGGATAAAAATTGATGACTCTCAATTCAGAAATGAGAGAAAAAAAAGAGATGTTGTGACCTGAATTAGCAGATAACTCAGTGAGCAAAGCTGCAAAGAATGCTATAATACACATCTTGGGAAGAAATGCCATGCTATTAATTCTGATACCAGATCCACGAGTCTTCACTTTTGGGAACCTATCCATATTTGCATGCTTTAAAAATGTAACAGACCTTCAGTCATATTTGGAGACTGTTTTGATTGACTGAATGGTTTACAGGGAGCCCTGGTTATTTCTGTGGCTTCCTCCTGAAAGCTGATTTATTTCCTCGTATTGCATTGTGCTTGTGGTTTCCAGAGTTGTTGACAAACTGGCAAGTCTCCTTCACAAATAAAAGATTTAGGTGCTTCCTATTAAAACTCAAGTTTCTCTGTGAGTCCCCAAAAGGGCTTTAATTAAGAAACCTGAAATGTGCATAGATCTAAAGAGAAAGTATGTCACAATATAAACAAAAAGCCAGCTTTTCCTGTATTAAAAGAATTTGGAAAAGGCTGCTAATTGTAGGTTTCAACTATAACAGCACATTAAATTCATACAATGGTATGCCATTCTTAGTTACCTAAAAAGTCTAATTAGAACTTAGATCCCATTAGCAAATCCAAATGTGTTGAAAGTCTAATTATCAGAGATATTGTAGTCCTCTCGTCACATTTAAAACCTTATGAAATTTCTTTTGAGTTTTTGTTCTCTTCTGAGGTCAACCAGAGTCTATGCCCAATTACATTCCTTGATGTGCACTTTTTCTAGTAACTTTTCAAGATTTTATTTTCTTAGATGAATTAATATTGGCGGAAACAGTGATTTACGACCATAAGTGGAGACCTAGCTAGCACACTATCCACCTTCTACATTCTATTACTTAATTCTAAGCTTAATGGATAGCTTTTAGGACATCATCTTGTTCAAGGTAAACATGTCTAAGCTGCCAAAGTAAATATAAGGATTTCTTTCTTTCTTTTTTTTTTTTTTTTTGTCTGCCTTGGTGAATTGACTGTCGGTTTGCCTGAATAAATGCCATCTATTAATCTAAGGGCTCATCTAAAGTCACATTACTACTAAGAGATGAAACTAGGATTTAAACTAATACTTTTATTTATTTTTTAATATATATTTTTAAGTTTATTTATTTTGAGAGAGAGAAAGAGAGAGAAAGGAACAGGGAGAGAGAGCAGGAGACAGAGTGCAAGTGGCGGAGGGGCAGACAGATAGAGAGAGAGAATCCAAGCAGGCTCTGCACTGTCAGTGCATGGAGCCTCATGTAGGACTCAAACTCAAACCGTGAGATCATGATTGAAGTCGAAATCGACAGTTAGATGCTTAACTGACTGAGCTACCCAGGTGCCCCTAAACTAGTGCTTTTAAAAGTCCAGATTCCAGTGCTTCAATTGCAGTGCTGTTTTATAGCTTATGAATTGTTTTCATAAATATGATCTACTTGAGGTAGGTATAGAAAATATTATTCCTATTTTATAATAAAAAAAATGAAAGCTCAGAACTGTTAAGTAGCTGCCTCTCTATAACAGCTAGCGAATTCACATTTTGGCAATACAGTTTAAAAGGTAAATCATCACAATTACCATTTTTATTAAAGAAATACAATGTGTACATAGTGCATAGTATATGCCAGTCCTTCAAGGTCTTTACTTAGATTGATTAATTTAGTTCTCAAAACAGCACCGTGAGAAAGGTAACATTATTATCTCCATTTTACAGAAGAGAAAACTGAGGATTGAGAGGCTGTGTTCCTTCCAGTGTGCTTTTATTCACTTAAGCCATCCAGAGGCGTTGAGTAGAATAAGGAAAGGAGTAGATAAGTTAAACGGACAAGATAGTCTCAAAAATATTTCTGGAAATCTCTACTTTGTGTTACCAACATACTAAAGATAAGTGTGGGATGCATTTCATTTATCTTAAGGTCTGTTGATGCTTCTCCAAATGTATACTGAAGATAAACGAGGAAAGAAACAACAGCAACACACATAGAAAATGTTGATTATTCACATCTTTTTGAAGGATTTTTCAAATTTTAAGATTCTTTAATTTCTGTTCATATCCACTCATCTCCCTGAGGTTCCCTTCAAGCTATTCTGTTTGATTGTAATAGCTCCGTCCAATAATAAGCAATACAAATGAGTGAAGTTCACACAGATTCAAACTGAATTTGTATCTACAATGGGTCATATTCCTTGCAGCATAGTAAGGTTGACTGGCATAGTGTTTGATTAAAAAGAAGAATTCTTTTAGAAGAATTCCATTTAAATTCAAGCGTGAGGCTTATCTAAGAACTTCTGTGGCTTCATTGTTTGAAATTCTATTAACTTGGCTTTTCTGGATATGTGGAGAAGGTTGCTTGCGCTTGGCTGTGTTTTTTGTTTTTGTTTCTTTTCCTTCTTCTTTTCTTTTTTTTTTTTTTTTTATAACAATGAGTCCAGGGACTAATATAGATAATGCACACAAAATCTTATAATACTATCTATTCAGCTGAGCACTTTCTAAGTAAAAAATAATAAAAGTGGCCCCTGCAGCACATGAGATTTCCAGAAAGTCATACTGCTGATGGCAAAACAAGATTCACTATCTCCCATGGTCTGGCAGTCTAGAGAAAATTTAGAAGGGATTAAAAAATAAGGACCAATTCAATTTCCTTTCAATTACGGTATATTGATTTCCTATAGTATTTTTTGGTTATTGCTTAAAATCACTTTAAAACCTTAAAAATGCTTAATGCTTTAATTATTTCCTTCACTGGAGCTTTAGCAATAATAATTTTGTAGCTCTCTGTTAAAATCAAGGTAGTATCTTGTGTTCAACAAAATGGTTGCTGTATTTGGATGGGAACAGTAATACGTTTCTAACATCACGTGTTATGTCATTAGCAAATAGCCAAGTTTTAGATATTTACTCTTTTCCTTCAATATTTCCTCTTTTCATTTGTCCATGGGCTTTAAAGGATGACGTTTGACTTGGTTTTGCATCACTATTTTTCAGGCGGTGTTATAATGTCAAAAAGAGCTGAACTGTTCAACTTTAATTTTACGCTTAATAGTTATAGGCTTTAATAACAGGAGTCAAGAGAGCTCTTAATTGAATGCCAAATGGATTCTCTACATTTAGTAGCTTGTATTCATATGGAACAAACGAAGCCTGGCCATAGTACCAAAAGCTCCAGCTGCAGGATACAAAATACCCACTGTACCGCAGGCTGTGTGCTGCCAGCCACTACATTTCCTTTATTTGCTTTCTCAGCCTTCAGAGGAAAGAAGGGGAAGAATGAGGCATAGGCAAAGTAGCTGAGAGCTAACCATGTAGATATGCACAGCATTTATTTGGTCGATATTACCTCTGTAATGGGATAGAGCGTGTAAAAAAATACACACGGCAGGTTGACTCAGATGCATGTTTCATAATGGTAAACGGGAATGTTTTTTCTTTGATATATACAGGAATGTAGTGTGTCAGTAATCCCTCCAATAATATTTGTGTGTGTGTGTGTGTGATATTTCCACCTGTAAAACAGGTTAAGTTTGCAGGACTTGCCCCTTGGGGATGATTATTTCCTCCTAAGATTCTGTTCCTACAGCTTGGTCATTATCATGAAGTAGTAGACCTTCTTTAGATTACATGAAATAGCCTTAGCACTTGAGTTTCCTTCAGGAGAAAATGTCTTTGAAAAACAAAATCACCTGACTCAACTGCTTACATTTCCCTGTATTGATGCCGAAAACAAAATTTCTATACTATGTGCAATAAGATGAATTTAGCTGATTTCCACAAAGTAGCAACTTGAGAAGACACACACACACACACACAAACACACACACACACACACACACACACACACACACACACACGAAAAAATAGCTCAAAGATGTTTTATGCAGCCATAATAACCACTCTTCAGTTATCAACTGGCATTTGACTGATTTAATAATACTCTACAATTATGTTTCCCTTTTTTTTTTATCATTCTTCTTGGTGTAAAATTATTATTATACTATATTTAGAGGCAGTAGATCATAGACACTAAGATCAGAAACTCTGGAACCAGACTGCTTAGGTTCAGGCACCTGCTCTGATACCTGCTGGGCATGTGCTGTTGGGCCTCAGTTTTCTCACCTCTCAAACGGGAATAATAAAAGTGGCTTCTTCATAGGGTTAGTGAGACTATTAACTGACTTAATATAAGTTAAATATTTAGAAGCATTCCTGGCACATGAAGACTAATGCAATG